ATGCTTACAGTTAGATAGTGCTTTGCTGGACAGTCCGACTTCAAACTAAATGCAGAGTCGTGCTTCGCCAAAATAGCTCTGGAATCTAGCAAAAAAATCCACTAACTCATGTTTCGAAGGCTTGGGTTCCTTTGCCGGCGAAGCTGTTGCAGCAGCCCCCTTCACAACTACCGTATAAGCGCGTTTACCCTGGAGACTTTGAAATGAATAAGAACGATAACAAGTCCTTGTTCATTAAAAAAATCCCCAGGGTAAGAAACGCTCATATTTTAGAGCTTATGAGGTTTATAAGACCGGGTACTATTTGGTAAAATTCGTTATTATCAGCGAGATCTCCATGAAAAGCCTTAATTCGATTGCTGTGGGTGCATGAGCATCTGACCCTGACGTAGCTAGTAGGCCAGTGAAAAGTTTAAAAATTATCCTGAGAGGAAAGAGTATATTGTTTCCTTCTCTCCGACAAAGAGATATGGGTTGCATATACGATCAATTGCACCAAAAGTACGCTACTATAGTAGCTGTCCATTGTTGTGGAATATACTGTTATGTAGATAGCCGGTGAAAACGCAACGATTTCGGACGAACAACATATGTGGACTCCAGACTCTGGAGCAATAGCTCAAGGCAAGGGAAGGGAAAAACACAATTTGCATCGATTTCTTGGATTACGCTCTAGTGCAGTTTACATTGCAGTTAGCCTTTCGAGTGCAATTGAGTTTTGCAATTCGTCGGGCTCATGCAATTGGGCATTGCAATTTATATTCACTTCAACGTCACTTCACGTGTCAAGCTCACCTCGCTCTACTTCTAGAAGATTTTATCGCTTCTTTTGCATGGCTAAATGTAGCAGGTATAGCGTTGGCAGAGCATTGCGGCATAGCATCTCGCAGCATTTACTCCGGCCCACGCTCGCTACTTCATAACGCAATACGTAGCAGTGGTTTGTAGTGTACATGGACAGCAAATTCCTCGAGGTACTGCTAAGTTTTTCTCCTCCTCTGGACGAGAAGTCCTACACGGCTCAATCCCTCCGTGTGCTGATGGAGCTTGTAGGCACACACTGATGAGTGAGAATAGCAACGTCTTTTGTAGATCAGTGCTGAAGTTGAGTATTACAATACTTAGCTTTAATGCAATCGCTCCTTTTGAATGCAATAAACCAATTGATTTATGGTGGGATTCTTTTTCCCTTGCCGGCCTCAAGCTGACACTAGATTGTATGCTGCCGGTGGGGAGAATTCTCCAACTCAAACCGCGCGTAGTCATCAGCAAGTTATCTTTGAACCCACCCCATCCCTGTGGTGGTAGCGCTCGAGTAATTGAACATAAACCCAAGTCGGTGCACTCTTTTCAATGGGTATATAGCCAATGCTGCTTAATTAACCATTCACACCATCGTATCGAATCCACAGGTTGCATTCCTTTAGTGAATGGTTGGGCTTTACCTTGGAAACGACTCTACAACGTCTAAAGCACAAATTTGCAATTGCAATAGCATCCATCGCACTGTCTCAAGCGCCACTCTAAGCCTTACATTCAACTCAACGCGATGCTGTCGAAGAAGCGGAGTTTGCTGACGGCTCAAACAAATACTGTTATTATACTGCTGCAACGGGCAGCTCAACGAAAAAGGTTTTAATCATCACGCCAAAATGTCTTCTTCGAGGTGCTACATTACAAGTGGCAGGTGGGTGGTGTGACTGTGTTGGTGTTGAGCAATGGGCGTTTTCGTTGATTCAAAAGGTGGTGTAGAAGCTGTTTCAAGTTCTATGCTACTCAGCTCTGATACTGTACGTGCAGGAATGTCGTGGTGGATGCGAGGTAGTGCTGGAGGGTGTTTCAAGATCAGGATGGAGTTGATATGTAAGATTCATTCCCACACCTTTATACTCTTTGATGTGGGCAAGTTTAAGTGATTGAGAGTAATCAGGCTGTCAAGAACGAGCTTCAAGTAAGTACATTGCTACTAGTATATTACATGTAACTTAGTAGTTGTGGTTGTTTCTAGATCGCTGAATAGGACCATAATATGGACAAGAAAGTTGTATTTTACTACGAAGTACTGTCGAACGTTAAAAAACGAGCTTCTTGAGCTTCTGTGCTTTCACGGTTCGCAGAGAAAGTGTTTTATATTTTACCTTTTGATAGTAACTAGTAGAACGTTAACAGTTTTTTTTTTCTTCTTGCTAAACCATTGTGCCTCCTGCTCAAGCCAGTGGCATCAATCTCTTTACTTAGTATTTGCAAAGCACATTGCAAGTTGATCTCTATATATTTGGTATTGGACGACTTTGATTACCATAGCAGAACTGTTCTGTCCGAGTCTCGGAGGTCGACCACTATCGGCGATCTTGGGTGCCTTGCTTCCGGTTTTGCTCTAACTTACGTAATTCAGGCGTCACCCTACTCTACAGCTAGCCTTCACGCTTCACCAGCATATTGCGGC